GAATCTTTTTCACTTCTTTTCATTAAAAGGCTACAATTTTGTTAAATATTATGTTTTGTCAAATTGAAATTATGCCGATTTTTGTTCTTTATTTCTAAACAAAATTAGAAAATTGTTAAACAACTGTGATTAAGAAATAGAAGATTTATTTATTTTTCATTATTTTTGATTATGAATCACAATTTTTTTTAACAAAATTATTATTTTGTTTTAGATTTTTTTCTAGAATTTCAAATTATTTTTTTGGAAAATAATAATCGAATTCCTTAAAAAAAATTTATTATTTATGAAAATAATTGAATTCCTGTGAAATTTTTATTATTTATGAAAATAATTAAATGTTTGAATACAATTTTATTACAATTCTTTTTAAATAATTATTGAATTCTTTTTGGGACATCTTATTAAAATAGTAGATTTTGAAAATCATTAAAATTAGAAAATTTTTTGCCAATAATTTAAATTAGGACAAGAAAATTTTTTTGACATTTATGAAAAGAATTGGATTCCTGTGGAATTTTTGAAAATAATTGAATTCCTGTGAAATTTTTAATAATTATGCAAAAAATTAAATATTTGCATACAATTTTATTAAAATTTTTTTTAAATAAATGAATTCTTTTTGCGAAATTTTATTAAAATAGATATTGAAAATCATTGAAATTAGAAAAATGCATTTTATTTTTGAAAATAATTGAAATTAGGACAAGAATATTTTTGCCATTTATGAAAATAATTGAATTTTGGAGAAGAATTTTGTTATTTATAAAGATAATTGTGATTTTTACGAGAATTGTTGCAAATTTTGAACATAGTTGAATTTTATAAGAAGAATTTTATTTTTTTTTAAATAATTGAATTTCTGCAATTATTTGTAATTTCTTCAAACTTAAATTTTTTTTAGTGTTTTCAACAAAAATTTAAATTAGAAAATTTAAAAATTCTATTATTTTTAAAATTGCTTATTTTATTTAAAAAAAAGGTATAGTAAGAAGTTAGCCGCGCGAATTGTTGATAGTAAATTAATTATTTTTAATTAAATTTTACAAAATTTTAACTATTTAAATACAATTTTAGAAAGATATGTTTATAGTTATTTTTTGCATTATAAAAATTAAAATAATGCACTTTTTTTCTAAAGATTGTTGTATTTTGTTGCAATGTTTCGAAGAAAAGTAAAAAAAGTCTCAATTTTCTTAATTTTTCTGACAAAAAATTTTTTTCGTGACATTTACCTGACTTAACTGACAAAAATTTTGTTTTAATGTGTCATGGAAATTTTATTATTTATCACCTGGAAATCATGGAATTTGATAAGGAAAAATTTGTAGAAACTCTGAAGCAAATTAGTAATTAGTAAATTAACGAATTTTGAAATAAAATAGTCTTTTCGCTCTCGTTTTTTTTTCCTCCTTTTTTTTTGTCAATTTAGGAACCATTATTTTCAATAGAACACGACGAGTTAAGAATCCCCTTGTTCTCTCCTTTTCTTTTTTTTTCTTTACTCTGATGATGATTATTATCATGAGAAAACGAGAAGATCAACTCTTCTCGCAGACTTATGAATTTCAATAGCATCAACTTGAAAAAAAAAGAGAGGCCGCAAAAGCCATTCCATTTCGTCCGGCAATAAATTTACCCACCCCATATATAAAACGCCATTAATCATTGGGAATTCTAGAGAAGAAAGAAAGGAGGAGAGAGAAAAAAAATCCCTATCCAGAAACGAGACATCATCTTCTTGAAAAGTATAGAGATCGATACTTAAAGACGTGTATGACACGTGGAGATTCGATATAGTATGAATTCTGCTTGTAGGTCAAGTTTGAGATGACATCTCAAAGCCGGAGGGTTTAGTTTTCCAACATTTAACCGCGCGATAGAGGAATTTTTCGTGGAGAGCAAGGAAATGTATATTTTTTTTCATTCACTGTGCCTTGAGGTCTCTTTTCTTGAAAATTTTTTTTTTTACCATATTTTTGCACTCCATAGTACCCATGTACACGATTTTCTTTATAACAGGCTTTTACTTTGCTTTCATTTCATTAAGCTTAAATTCACATTGCTTTTAGTACTCTTTCTACTCTCCTCATCGCTTTAAAAGTTTAAATCCCAAACATTACCGTTGAATTATTTATGAAGACGAATTTCGAAATTTTTTTATGACAGGTCGAGTGTTGATAATTCTAAATGATTTTAACGAGTGTAGTTTTTTTTTAATATTATGCAACGCTTTTTCTTTGTTTCGGCAAACATTTTTTGCTAAATTTTCAAATAAAATCAGGGAGAAATTAAATTTTTATGGCAATTCTGTAAAATTAAGAAAAGGAAATAAAGAAAGAATAGGAAAACATTATTTTCGTTATTTTATAAAATAACATGCCACAGACTTAACAGAAAAAAAATTGTCCCTTGCCGAAGAAAAATTCGGAAATTTTCATTTTCTTCAATCAACAGCCACTGATGTGTGAGATATCTATCCTTTTTTTTCTCTCTACAACAATCTGACAACTCATCTCTTTTTTTTATCTTCTTCTCACTCAAACACTCTCTCACGTTTTCGTTTAATTTCGGGGCAAATTGTACCAAGTCTGAACGTCACGTTCGACCTCGTTTTTTTCAAAAGGTTTTTTTTTTTTTTGGTACACACATTTACCGAATTTTCAGTATCGAATGGTCAAAGATTCGAGAGAGAGAGAGAGATATTTTGATACGTTTCGTGGGAGGAAAACAGCTGTTCTTAACGTTCAACTTTAAAGTCGCGGCGACTTGGCAAAACTTCATTCTCGATAAAAAGAATAAAAAAAAAAGAAAAAAAAAATGAAGAAAAAAAATCCCCATCTTCGGGAAATGTTCTGCTAATGGTCGACGAGAGAAAATCTATCGGAAAAGTATCGAAAAGCTAGAGGAAGGAAAACGATACTTTGTTGAGGGGCGAGGAGGAGAGAAAAAAAAATTAAAAGAGTGCAATACCTTGTATTGGAAAGTCTATGGTAAAAAATAAGCGTTGAAAACTAAAATGAGAAATTTGGAAAAAAATTGTTATTTTCTCTATGTTAGTGAAAAGGGTTTTCGAATTGTTTTTTAATTGTGTATCTTTTTTTTTTATTTTAGGATAAATTTTAAATTAGTTTTTTCATAAAATCAGGACTCAAACTAGGTCCGTAAATTACGTAAAGGAGCGTTCTGCTTGTAGTCGGTAAAAGTCAGTTTTTCTTTAAAAAAAAGGTCCGTAAAGTCTGTAATTTGATTAAGAAAAGACGAAAAATTCGTCAAATTTACAATATAATTTGGAGAATTTTAGAGAAATTACAAATAATGATTGCAGAAATTCAATTATTTTCAAAAGTATAATAAAATTCAGAGCAGAAATTCAATTATCTTTAGAAAAAAGTAAATTCTTCTCCGAAATTCAATTTTTTTCAAAAATTTTAATAAAATTCTTGGCAAATATTTCAATTATTTTCAAAAATTTTCCTCAATTCAATGACTTTTAATATCTACTATTTTAATAAAATTTTCCAAAAGAATTCAATTATTTTAAAAAAATTTGATAATATTCTACGCAAACCTTCTTAAAAACTTTTTTAAAAATTATTAAAAATATTGAACTTATAGAAAAATTTTAGTTAAAAACACTAAAAAAAATTTAATTTTGGACAAGTTACAAATAATTGCAGAAATTCAATTATTTTTAAATGTAATAAAATTCTTCTTACGAAGTTCAATTATGACCAAAATTTATTATTAGAAATTCAATTATTTTCAAAAGTAATAAAATTCTTCTTACAAAGTTTAATTATGTTCAAAATTTTAAAAAAATCTCGTCAAAATCACAATTGTTTTTATAAATAACAAAATTATTCTCCTAAATTCAATTATTTTCAAAAATTTTCCTCATTTCAAATATTTTTAATATCTACTATTTTAATAAATTTCCCAAAAGAATTCAATTATTTAAAAAAATTTTTTTTGACAATTTCAATTGAATTCCTCGAAAAATGTAATTATTCTTAAAAATTTGATTAAAATTCGTCCAAAGAATTCAATTATTTAAAAATTTATTGATAAAATTCTTTATGGGAATTCAATTTTAAGAAACATTCAAATATTCAATAAATTTTTTTTTGTACTTAAATAATTGAATTCTAGTAGAATTTTCTAATAAAAATTTATTTAAAAATTAATTTCTGTTAAAAACAAATAAATTTGAAAATTCTTGAAACCAGTTTAAAAATTATTAAAAATATTGTATTTATAGAAAAATTTTAGTTAAAAACACTAAAAAAATTTAATTTTGGAGAAGTTACAAATTATTGCAGAAATTCAATTGTTTTCGAGAGTCATAAAATCCTTCGCAGGAATTTAATTATGTTCAAAAGTATTAAAATTTTTTTTTAGGAATTCAATTCTTTTTATAAATAATAAATCTCATCGCAGAATTTTAATTATTTTTAATGCAATTTTAATCGAATTTTTCAGAAAATGTAATAATTCTTAAAAATTTTATTAAAAATCGTCAAAAGAATTCAATTACTTAAAAATTTGTTGATAACATTCTTTATGGGAATGGAATTTTAAGAAATATTCAATTATTTAAAAATTTGTTGATAAAATTCTCTATGGGAATTGAATTTTCAGAAACATTCAAATATACAATAAATTGTTTTTTTTTGTATTTAAATAATTGAATTCTATTAGAATTTTCTAATAAAAATTTATTTAAAAAGAATTTCAGTCAAAATTTTAGATAATAATTGAATATTAAAATCAATATAGCGTGAATTTTTAGAATTAATTGAATTTTGAAATTAAATTTTTGGAATAAGGTTAATTGAATTTTTTTCATATTATTTTAAGTTTCTATTTTCTAATATATTTTTAATTGAAGAATTTATGAATAATTGAAATTTCGTAAAATTTAATTCTTGTTACAAAAATTTTTCTATTCAAATTTTAAGGAAAGAGAATTAAAAATATTCTTTATTTTTTTGTTGCAGGTAAGACTTGAGAATTGTCGTCATCTTTTTCTTCGACTGACTGCGTAACGAGTAAGTTATATGATTTATTGAATAATAAATCGAATTATTAATTTAAAAATTTTTAATTTTAATTAAATTTCAATTAAATTTTATTAAATATAATAGTATTGAATAATTAATATTATTTACTATTAATAATAATACAAAGAATGGAAAATTTAATCAGAGACTTCAATAATTGAAATACCTAATTTTATGAGACAGTCGTGTCATGAAAAAATATTTAATATTTTTTTTTTAACAGTAGATTGAAAAATACTAAATAGCATAATTTTCATTACTTAAAATAATCATTTTATTATGAACTAGAATTTTTTTGCAATCTGAATAGAGCTCCTCGTTATTAAACAGTGAAACAAGGTCTATTGTATTCGTTACTTAATGTATCACTAACTAATGATTCACTAACTCAAAGTTCTCCTACAGTTTATCATGTAGAGTTTTAACGTCATAAAATTAACAATCCATATTATTTGAACCGCCTCCGAAATAAATAATAGTTTCAGTTTTCGCCTATACATATAAATTGACGTATATTCTTGAGAATGAATGTATACATAAAGATTTTGAGAATGAAAGGAAATATACGGACAATGGAATAAAGATACAATGGACGTGATGTAGCAAAGATTAATTAATGAAAATCAGGATTGAATTGAAGTGGGTCGTTGAAATGTAAAGACAGGAGTACAATTAACGACACTTTGGCGTTGAAAATGGAGATTCGGAAGGGGTTATACAAGGGGTGTGAGGGACCCAAGACCTTTACACCATCATTCGTCCGCAACACCTTTCCTAACTTTGGAAACCCTTGTTCCAACACTTCTCGATGAGTTTATCTGCCAGGTAAAGGCGCAGAATCCCCGTCCCTTTATTCTATTTAATTAGAGTGCGGATCAAGGACTTAGACGGTATATATATCCCCGGACCTTTCGTCTAACGAGCTCTTCCCATTGCTAGAAACACGTTCTAAGTGCAGTTGCTACTTGAAGAGTTCTTGGTTCCTTTGGATTTAATTAATTTCCAACTATTCACCGCATCAGTTGTTTTCGTCTTAAATTTTCAAAAATTCATTTTATGTTGTTTTTAATATATTTTACTAGCAACAATTCGCGCGCGTAACGCGCGCGGCTGAGTTCTCCCTCGCTTTTCTAAATAAAATTAGAAATTTTAAAAATAATAGAACGTAAAAATTTTTAATTCAAATTTTTTTTTATAAAAATAAAATATAAATTGGAATATATAGTTTTAATATTATTATAATTATAATAATCATAAATTCTGACATAGGAAATTCAGGGAAAAGTCAGGAATTTTTATTAAAACTTAAAAGTACCTACTGCAAAAAATTAAATTTTTAGAAATCATAAGAAAATTCTGAATTTTTGTCTTTTTTGTTTGACTCATAAACTAAATTACCACGAAATCTAATACAAAACATTCAATTTTTTCAATTTCGGACAAAAATTTCTTTTTAAATAACTTAAACCTTGAACAACTATCATAGAATAAATAAATTATTTAATGAACAATTTTACTTAAATATTTCAAAATTAAATCAATTTTAAAAAAGTTGCGTTTGCAATTTTTATAAATAAATTAACTTCCAACGGTTTCAATTTGAAATATTTTAAAATTTCAATGTTGAATAAATTTAATTAGAAATTTTAATAAACTTAAATTGTTGAGAAATTTTAATAATTCAAAATCTTCTAAAATTAGTTAAATTTGTTAAAATATATTTAGTTTATTATTAAAAAAATGGATTTATAGAAGAATTTTTGTTGAAACCAGTAAAAAAATTGAATTTTGAAGAAGTTACAAATGATTGTAGAAATTCAATTATTTTCAAAAATAATAAAATTCTTATCACGAAATTCAATTTTGTTCAAAGTTTACAAAAAAATTTCGACAAAATCACAATTATTATCTTTACAAATAAAAAAAATTCTTCTTAAAAATTCAATTATTTTCAAAAGTAATAAAATTTTTATTACAAAATTCAATTATGTTCAAAATTTACAAAAAAGTCTGGACAAAATCTTAATTTTCAAATGTTTTAATAAAATTACTCAAAAGAATTCAAATATTTTTAAAAAATTTATAAGTTTCTTTTCAATAATTCAATTATTTTCAGAAATAATAAAGCTTAAAGTAGAATTTCAATTATTTTTATACAATTTTAATCAAATTCCTCAAAAAATGTAACTATTCTAAAAATTTTTATTGAAAATTCGTCAAAAGAATTTAATTATTTAAAAATTTGTTAATAATTTATTTTTTTTATGAAGTTACAGTAACAATATTCTTATAATGTAAAATAATGATTTTAATGCTCGATCCTCTTTAATTATTATAAAACAAAAAGAAAACGATCAGTCCGAGTCTTCGACTCGGAGTAATCGTTATCTTTATGTTTTATAGCAATATTTTTAAAGTTAATTAATTTCAAAAAGGTTTCAATTTGAAATTTTATTAAATTTCAATTTTTAATAAATTTAATTAGAAATTTTTAAAAACTTAAAATTGGCAAAATGGTAATAATTCAAATTCTTCTTAAAATTAGTGAAATTTGTCAATATAAACTAAAAAAATTTAATTAATTATTCAAAAATAATGGATTTATAGAAGTATTTTAGTTAAAAACACTAAAAAAATTCAATTTTGAAGAAGTTACAAATAATTGCAGAAATTCAATTATTTTCAAAAGTAATAAAATTTTTCTTACAAAGTTCAATTATGTTCAAAAGTAAAAAAAAAATTCTAAACATACTAACAATTATATTTATAAATTACAAAATTATTTTCCTAAATTCAATTATTTTCAAAAATTTTCCTCATTTCAATGATTTTCAATATCTACTAGTTTAATAAATTTTTCAAAAGAATTCAATTATTTGAACATTTTTTTTATAAAATTGTACTCAAACATAATTCTTTTCATAAATAGTAAAAATATTACAGAAATTCCATTATTAAATTTTTTTTATAAATTTCTTCACAATAATTCAATTATTTTCATAAAAAATAAATAAATTTTTAAAATTCTTCTTAGGGATTCAATTATTTTCACAAATAATAAAATTCATCGCAGAATTTCAATTATTTTTAGTACATTTTTAATCAAATTCCTCGAAAAATGTAACTATTCAAAAAAATTTTATTGAAATGTATCAAAAGAATTCAGTTATTTAAAAATTTGTTAATAAAATTCTTTATAAGAATTAAATTTTAAGAGACATTCAATTATTCAATAAATAATTTACTTTTGTATTTCAATAATTGAATTCTCCTAGAATTTTCTAATAAAAATTGATTTGAAAATGAATTGGAGTTTAAATTGTAGATAATAATAGATTATGAAAATAATTTTTAAGAAGTTACAGTATACCAATAATCTTATAATATAAAATAATTATTTTAACACTCGATCCTCTTTAATTATCATAAAACATGAAGACATCGATTGCTCCGAATCTTCAACTCGGAGTAATCGTTATCTTTCTGTTTTATAACAATATTTTTAATCTTGATTAATTTCAAAAAGGTTTGAATTTGAATGTTTTGAAGAATTTTAATTCCTACTGAAAAATAATAATAATTAAATATTTTAAATATTTTAAAAAGAAATTATTGTTTTGGAATAATATTACAATTAAACATATTCGTAAATAAATTTAAAAGAACATTTTTTTCAATAAAATTTTTTACTTTATTTTCTAAAAATTCAAAAATTTGCAGTTTCATTTTCAATTAAATTTTCTAATTGACAAATATAATTTATAAACATTTTTTTCCTTTATTTTTAAAAAACTTTGAATTTTATTAAAACAATTGAAATTAAGAAATAGAATTGATGCATGATGAAAATGCATTGTATGAAAATTGAGAATTTTCTACAAAAACATTAAGAAACGGGAGTATCTAATGTTTTTCTTTCCAAAAGAAAAAAATGAGTTTGTAAACAATATTGTTATTGAGAAATAAAAATTATGCATAAAAGTGGGTATATTTCCTACTTTTTAAAAAAAATTTTTTAACAATTAACAATTTTCTAGTATTTTTTATAAATAAAAAGGAGAATAATTTGCATAGTTTAAATCAGTCAAACGAAATTTGTTATAGAAAAAAGCATATAACAAACAAAATGGGTATATTTTTTATTTATTATTCATAATTTTTTTTAAATTTTCTAATTTGTAATATTATTTTATTATAAATAATAAGAAAATACCTGCATATTTTCGATTTGTCGAACAATATTTAAAAGAAAAAATCAAAATTAAGATTTGTTAAGATTTTAAAGGAATTTCATAAAGATTTTAAAGGGATTTTAAAGATACACTTTTTTTTGAGAGAGAGAATAACGGAATCACGGAAGAGAGTAATTTCGTGCAGGAATAATTTGTTGGGAAACTGGAGACATAGCTTTTTGAAGAAATCAATAATATAGAATTCTCTCTTGACTGACGAACGGTAACATAATCCAAAAGCTGAGACAAAGCATTGGATTGCAGCCAGAAATTTTATACCAAGACATTCTGGAAAAGATGGTTTCTGAGTAGTGTTGGAGGGGAATAAAAAAAAAAAAGAGGGAACTGAGTCCAATCGGTATAGCACCCAAAAGGATCCTTGAAAGTGCCATCGAGAAGGAAATCTCAAGTCCTCTGTTTTCATTTGGTCTTCATGAAAAAAAGAGCCTTTAGAGTTTTAAATCCTTTTCACCCATCAATGCATTCGATGGGAACATTAAACAAAGAGTCGAAGGTCTCAATTTTTTTTTAAACAGAAGTTAAAATACTTTAAAAACAGAAAGAAAATTTTAAAAACAATTCTATTCTTTACGAATTTTTAGAATGTTTTTATAATATACCTTGAAGAATATCAAATTTGTAAATATACGATATTAGTATATCTACTTAATATTTTTCTTTCTCGTTTTTATTGTCTACATGTGCACTTATTGATAAAAATTTCTATTTAAAAACTATTTTCAAAAGCAAGCAAAA